TATTTATTTAATTAATTAAGCATGCGAAAACTAGGTGATAACAATATTAAGCAATTAAAAGCACTTTAGTTATTTTAGTTAATTAGATAAGCATGCGAGACTAAGTGATAATATAATAAATAAACATTACACAATAAATAAAGAGATGAGCAAGGGGATAGAAATTTGCACAATTAGATAAGCAAACCAACTTTATTTTAATTAAACTACCCCAAATAAATATAATTATAAACAGATAAAGGGACAAAAGGAAAGGGAGACGCTGAAGGACTTTAGGATCAGTACTCGACTTTTCTTTATTTCGGTCGGCTTCTCGTAGGGACAGACAAAACCAAGGTTTGTCATTTAGACCGAGTCGATGTCATCATATCCATAGGGCCTAGACTACCCCTACCCTACCACCGCATGCTTAACGTCTCTACAAGGTGCCTATCGTCCCCGCTTAAGGTCCAAGAGGCATTGGACTACTATTAGGGTGGGTATAGACTAAAAAGAAATATAATAGGCCCATCTAGACACCAAGTCAAACAATTTGGACGAGCATTTAGCACATAGAGTCTCATGTTAGCCTCTAGATTTTATTAAACATGCTAACAAACACAAGTAATGTGAAAGGAATCATGCTAAGTGTGTGTGCATACAAACATGTATTGACAACATAATTATAACGATTTATTTTATGAATTTTAAAGGGGCGGAAAATTGATACAAGTGCAAAAGATTTAATGATTTAAAAGAGTGGCATAACAATGATTAGGATGCGGGAAATAGTTTAAGCAGTAGCAGATTTAAAGTCTTTAGATGAGCCAGTGGCAGAATGTCATTGATTAATATGCAGAAACTGATTTAATTTATTTTAAGTGGCAAAACAGTGCAGAGATTAGTTTGAACAAAATTTAATCGGGATAGCAAGTAGCAGATGCAGAAAAATGACTTTTTAGTAGCTGATTTTCAGTACCTAAACAGAGCAGAATCTAATTGGTTTGAGCCAGATTCAATCTAGGCAGTAGATAATAATTTTTAAAATGAAACAGGATTTCTCTCCTTTTATTTAATAATATGCTGATTAACATCTCAACTTGTTAATTATGTCCTATAGGCGTGATTTCTAAGTGTGAATATGCTGAAAATATTGTCAAACCCATAAGCATAATATCCATTTCATTTAAACAAATTGTTAACCATGTAGGCATGATATTTAATTAATATGTAACAAAATTTACATCTATATGCATACATACTGCACTTCTAAAATTATTTAGATCCTATAGGCATGATATCTATTTCATTTAGACAGATTATTAAACACTTTAGGCGGAACTTTATGGCAAACATGATTTATGTATTTCTGGACATTTTATTGGCATGACATTAATCGTGACTTAATTCCAAATAGGTTAACATGTTAGCAACATGACCAAACTGATTTGCTCAAATTATATTAAAGTCCTAGAAGCATGATGTCTAAGTAGTATAAACCAAATTTCGAATTTGAACAACATTAGCATGTCTGACAAGATTCTACGAGTTCAAGATCAAGCAAATTTGAACATATATTCATGATATGTCGATTAATCTGAAAAGGTTATGAACAAAGGTTAATTTTAGGTCAATATTAAAATATATTCTAATATGCTTGCAAGGTTTACGATTTAAGCAACGTAGGCATGTTTTAGCAATCACACATAGCAAAAAATAAACTAGACTAGAAATGAAAAGAAAACAATTAGCACGTATATCCCCCTCCCCCTTAGACGATCCCCCAAATTATTCATATATAGGAGAGTTTAGAGAGTTATACAAAATATTACAAACCGAACAAAAGCAAATAGTAACGACATAATATAATCCAAAGTAAACTATTAAACAGAAATAAGTTCTATCCGGTATCCCGCCTTAAGCGACTTTTCATTCTTGAACTTGAGTTCAGAACCTATTAAACAAAATAATACCAAACACAAGATTATAGCATAATAGTAACTATATAGAAACGTAATAAATATTCACAACAAACACACGAGTTTCGAATCATAGCACATATAAGAACACACATTAATAAGGAAAGGATAAGGAGGTTAACCCGGATGCTTCCTTTTCGAACACACAACAATATTCACAATTAATAATGCAGTACGAAATTTAAACTAATGAAGAAGAACTAACCTAGTATGCAGAAAATTATTATCAGCAGTGAAGTCAACCTAATTCGATACTCGACCCGAACACAACAAAACCGAATAGAGAAGCACTTCTTAGAATGTTCACCGGATTTTTATTTTTTAGAGCAGAGAGTATTTTCTTTTTAAGGTATTCAAGAGTAAGGCGTGAGCAATGTGTGTAGACCGTGTGTATGAGAGGTGACCCTTAACTAATGAAAGGAAGGGTCATTTATATACTATCAGAGTACAGACCAAATAAAGGAAGGGAATTAAAAGGGAATCAATTAATATTTTTCTTATTTTGAAAGAGCCACAATTTAAAAAAAAAAAATTTTTTACCAAATATAAAGCAAGTAAGAAATCTGGTTAAGCTTAATTAAGGTGAGAATATATCCACTAACACATTTTCCTTATTAAGAAGGAAGCCAAAATCAGACTTGTTTTAATTTATTTTTACCAAATATAAACAAGTAAGAATCTATTTAAAACTAAGGCACCTAAAATAACACCGCCAAACAAATTGCATATCATCAACCAAAAGGAATAAAATTATTTTAAGAAGGACCATATCACGGCTCAAACCAATATTACAAATTAACATCCCTGCATATTTTATCAAGAAGTAAATACGGCAATAGCATCAATATAATATGATTAAGGTAACGAAATCAATTAAGGTCACCCTATTAGCTATGATATTATTCATTTGAAGACACTTTAAAAGATGACTATTCAAGGGAAGGAATAAATTTACAGCCCCAATCCCTTATCATAGTAAAACAGTGAGCAAATTGGTAGGAATCAATTATTTCAGCATAGAGGACAACTAAATAAGTCCAAATCAGCGACTAGAGGAAACAATCAGAAAATGGTAAGTTAAACATCTGTTATCAATTTACTAGAGCAAGTATTAAGGTGCCAATCACAAAGGCCAATCAATAAGATAAAGAGTATGCGATTAAACATTATCATAATCAAATTCCAAAATTAATTCGATAATATTCTACACTATAATTAAGCAAGACAAACAATTTCAACATGGTGTAAAGTCAATTAAGGAATGAAAATATGCAAAGGTTAGTGGACAATAAAATTCAGATTAAAACCAATTTTTGAAAAGAATCAGTGATTAGCAAGTTAATACCAGCATAGGTTCAATAAGCTGTCAACCCAAAAGTTTATGCATACAACGGAACGAATTCCTATCATTCAAGCATCAAGCACATAAAAGCAATCATATGAAAAATATAATTTAAAAAGTAGGAACAACATAGGGTTAAATAGATGAAGTAATAATTGATCGAAAGAAAATACCGAGACGGATCTGTTGAGATCCGTCTTCCACCGATCCTAATTTCGGATTTCGCCGGAGCTCGCTTGGTCGGACTGTTGTTGCTGTTTCGCCGGCAGCTGCCTTGGAGTTGTTGTCGTCTTCGTCATCACTCAGGTGGTTCGCCTGGCTGCTGTCTGGAGCTGCTGGAGTTCGCTGGTTGCAGCTGCTACTGGCGCTGCTGGTTGCTGGTCGGAGCTGCTGTCCACGCCGGCGCTGCCCTTGCTGGTTGCTGCTGCTGCCAGTGTTGCTGGCAGCTTCTGCTGCTGTTTCTCGCCGGAAGGGAGGAGAAATGAGAAAGATGAGATGGAGAAGAAGGGAGGAGAGGGAAGGAGAAGAGAGCAACGAAGAGAGGGAGAGAGAAACGGCTGCCACCAGCAGGTGGTGGCAATTTTCGCCGGAAAAAATGGAGAGGAGAGTTGAGAGGCGGCTGCTAGAGAGAGGGAGAGGATGAGTGAATGAAAGTATTTTAGGGTTTTGGTTACTTTGATAGAAAATAGGAAGGTTGAGGGATTTGATCCGAACCGTAGAATTAATTTAGATGAGCGGCTAGGATTTAACCTGAAAGATGAACGGATGAGATTAAACCATTTGAAATCTGAAATTAGAATAAGAATAGGCTAAAATTGAAATCAACAAAGGCTATAATTGAAAAAATGAAAATTTTAATTGAAGTGGCTAAAATTGAAATGAATTAGAAGAAGATAGGCTACAAGTTAAATGATTTTGAGGGAAATTCAAGAAAATGCTATCAGATTAAAGTATTATAACATTTTATATAATAAAAATCACTTAAACTTTAATATAATAATTATTTTGAGTTTTTACTAATAAATTTTAAAAATATTTTAATAATTTTGTAAAACACACATACTAAAATGTACAATTTTTAGACAAAATCAACTAAAATTTTAGAACTCAAAATATATTTTAAAAAGCGTATTTAATCGGATAGCATTTTCAAAATTGTTAAAGGTCGGTCAAAATTGGGTGTCAACAGAGAGCTAGTTGATTATATAGAAAATAGACTCTTAATTCTACAACCTATCCAAAAATTAAATTCAAAGTTCTTATGAATTCACCAAAATTGATATTTTTAAAGTTAGCGATCCAATTGACTTTGGACAACATCCATGAGTTCACTTCTCTGCATCTTCGCCGAAGAGCCGCATATTGATTGAGAATTTTGCCATCATCATGCCGATTTGAAGCTTCGTGCAATTGGCACCGTGAGACACATCACTTTTCCTT